GGCCGTAGCGCAGCCCCCGGGCGGCGGCCACCTGCACCCCTTCGGGAGCGGCGCCGACGGCGAGGGCCCCGAGGAGGAGGTGGAAGTGTACGAGCTGCGGCCGCGAGGCAGGGAGAAGGTCCGGAGAAGCACGTCTAGGGACCGGCTGGATGATATTGTTTTATTAACAAAGGATATACAAGAAGGGGACACTTTAAACGCGATTGCGCTTCAGTATTGTTGCTCAGTAAGTCCTGAGTAATTTCCTTTTTTTTTTTTTCTTTCAGAGGGGATAATTGGTCTGTGTTATCAGCTGTGTTGTTATTTTAAGATTAGGCACACCTGAATGCTAGTTTAGGCTGCTTATGCAAACTTGGCTCCTCTCTTGTTCAGCTGGATTTAGCTTTCAAGTTGCGCATGTGAACAACTAATCGAAATGTATTTTTCAGAATTTCAAAGAACTGTCTAGTATTTGACATGTCTGACTGTTAAAATAATAAGTAAAATGCACTGCATCCAGAAGTTTTAGGTTTAGTATACAGTTGTTGAGGTAAAACTAACATTAAGTAGTATATATTTGTATGTGACATTAATGTATCACTTAATAGGTAGTATGCTGTGATAGAATAAAAATTCTCATGGTGTGTAGTCACAGATGGGCACCTTTAGTAGTGTGGTGTTGACCATCACAGTTTGTGATGAAGAGGGTATTGCTGAACTACCTTAGAAGCTTTTGTGTGGAATCTTAATTCTGTTTAGGAGAACAATTCGCTGTAGATTTCATTTAAGTTCTGCTGAATTGCTCAAAATAATTTGTTAGCATGCGTATGCTATTCCACTGGGAACTATTTATCTGGAAATGTTCCCTGCTGGTGTAGTTTAGATGTTCATACTTTATTTTTAGTTAAGAGTTCTTACATTAACCTTGTGAATCTCCTTCCTTCCTAATAATTTTGGCTGGTACTAATTAAGGAAGAGGCTTCTGTCTTGGTTAATGTTAGCATTTGTATGTATCCTATTAAGCAGAGGAAATCAGCTGTGCAGGTAGTGGATTGCCTGCTAATAACATGGCTTTCAAGAGGTCAAATTTGGTCAGATTCGAAATCCATGTTTTCTAAAGTCTTGCTGTGATCTAATTCTCAGGTAGCAACAATACTCGGGGCCTATTGTCATGAACTTAGCTACTGAAGTCTTGGCATCATTTTGCTTAATAATCATGGTACGTTTTAGCCTAACTAAGTGATTCTTGGACTTGGCACCCACCCCCATTAAGTACTTTGAGCAAGTGTACTATATCAGGTCTCAAATAAGAAATGGAGGGATGAACTGCTTTGCTTGTTGTTGTAAATTTATGGGGGATGTGAAAGAGGTCCAGGTGTTTGGGCAGAAAGCATAACTCAAGTGGTGGTAGCATCTACTAATCATTGGGTTAAATGCTGCTGTTTGTAATCTTTTATGCTAACCTGACTTTTTTAGCTTAAATATGCTGTTGTGGGGACTGAAACACTTCAATGTTACAAGGTTAGAGCAGTATATGCTCTAGTGTTATAGAGCAGTATAGTGCTCTAGTGTTGGTCATCCTAACTTGCTGCTTCTGACCAAATCAGTTTGAAGTTGAGTGGTTACAGCAGCAAGGGTCTCCAGACCATATTCCTAATGGTCTTGTATTCTATTTGTTCATGCTTTCTCCTGAAGTAGATGCCCTCCAAATGGAGGAATGATTTGCACTCTGGTATCATGTTTCTTGGGTACTGTAACTTAGAGGCTGTTGCTTAAGAACAGGCACAATTCCTTTGTTTTTACCAGCTGCTGCAAGGAAGTACTGACTTTTTTGACTAAATTATGGTGAGGTGTTAGTGTTTCAGAGTGAAGTGGATAATTCTCTAAGGGCAATTAAATCCTTGCAGAATATTTCACGTGAGACATCTGAATGTTTTAAGAGCAAAATGAGATTCATAGTGAGCAAGAATAAGGGAGAAGGGAGAGCTGACGTAAGAAGATGACTTTAAAGGTTTCAAATTATGCCTGGGTTCTACCTTGCTGTCCCAAAATCTGCTCCAAAAAGTTGGAAAAATCCAAACTAACTGTGTCTTACTCAAAGTTTTAAGTTTAAATCAGAATCTTAGAGTAATGTATTCCATTTGCAAAACACTGGAGTAAAGCTGATTTCAGAAATTGTTGCCACTAATAGATGAATATACATTGACTAGTCATTACATTAAATGACTTTCAGAGGCTTCATCTGAAATAAGTGTTTGTTACCTTGTGATTATGTTCTTGCTTTAACATTGTTCAGATTGGAGCTTTGACCTCTTCTCACTTCATACTGTTTGAATAGTTAGTTTAAAAAACAGGCCCTCTGTTAGGGAAGAATTTTCTTTCTCAAGGATTTAGAGCTTCTAACATTTTCATTTCAGTTCAATATGACTTTGCTATTTAAACTTTTTTCTTGTTTTTAGGTTGCAGATATCAAGAGGGTTAACAATCTTATCAATGATCAAGATTTTTTTGCCCTGAGGTCTATCAAAATTCCAGTTAAAAAGTTCAGTGTATTAACTGAAACGCATGTGTCTCCAAAAGGAAGACCAGTTCTACGGCCGGCTCACTGTTCCCCGGAAGTGCAGGAAACATCGCCTTCTGATAAATTCTCTGCTAATGAGACTGCTGGCAACTTCTTAAAAGAAGTAGATCGTGATATAGAACAAATAGTGAAGTGTAATGATACGAAGAGGGAGAACCTTAATGAAGTTGTTTCGGCCTTAGCAGCCCAACAGATCTGTTTTGAAACTGATGGTAAAACTAAAAAATGCAAAGATCCTTACTATGGAGCAGACTGGGGTATAGGATGGTGGACAGCTGTAGTGATTATGCTGGTTATTGGCATAGTAACTCCAGTTTTTTATCTTCTGTATTATGAAGTTTTAGTGAAAGCAGATGTAAGTCACCATTCTACAATGGAATCTTCCCATTCAGGTGTCACAGCACCATCACATCAGAAACAAATAGAAAATGGAATAAATCCAGCAAATATTATAAATGTTAATCATGGATATAGATGATGATCAAGGAGAGCTTCAGCATTACAACCAAAAGCCCCAGACAATTGTTATTCATAGACACAAAACATAGCATTAGATGAAGAGGAAACCACAGAAGGCAAAGTGCATTTGGAATGCAGGAAAAGTATTTTACGGATGTATGATTTGTCTTTATGGGCAGTGTTTCATTATATGGATGTTCGTGTGGCTCATGTAATCTCTGAATATGCCTGAGGTTAGAGGATTTTAATGAAAAATTGGGATACATGTTAAGGTATAAAATGGTCTCTGAAGCTTTGCACTCTTTTCTGTTTTGATAAGCTTAGGTTTTCTAATTAATGACAGTGTGAGAAAATGTTTTTTGAACTAACATAAAAGAAATCTCACTGTACCTTTTACAATCCTAAAATGGGTATTTGAGGATGTCTAACTTTTAAATGTGTTCAAGTATTTATATGGTGCATAGTACACTTGACATCTTAAGATCAAGTTTACAGTTATCTGTTAAAACTGCGTTCTCATTTTATCTTACTCTATAAGAAATAGGATGAAACAATCATTCTATAATTATCTACCACTATAAAGTCCCCTTTCTGTTAAAAGTGATTTTTTTATAGAGAGAGGAGCTAATACTTAAACTGTGGTCTTTCAGTTTTCTGCCTGTGGTCAGCCCCTTCTTTAATACTTTTCAGTACAGGTGATAAGGTAATTTGATAACTGTCTGTGATACTGTGCCTCAACCCAACCCAGTCCAGTTGAGACAGTCTTATGGAAAGCTCACAACCTGCTCCATGGTATCCATCTATTGAAAACTGACTTGACTGGGCTCTACTTTTCTTCTGGTCAGCTGTATGTAAAATGAAATAAGTGAAGATGCATGGCACCTTGTTCTGACTGCTTCATTAGTCTTTTTTTATGCTAATGGAATTTTCTTTCTCTCCAGCTGATCTCAGTTCAGGAGCAACTGATTTTTCAGACATCAGTCATCTCGGGTTCTGAATATGCTAATTGTTATGCACCCCTGAAGCCCAAACACCACTTTTTCCTCCTCCAAAACCTCAAATGAAATTGAACGGCTGCTAGCCAGAAACTTAAATTGCAGCAGAATACAGCAGTTGCTGCTTCAAATTGTTCTTTAGTTAGTATCTGTCAAACACTGTCCTTGAATGTTTCACTTTGGGGTTTCATGAGTAAATTTGTTTCCCCTTTCCCCTCCCCCCCCTTTTCCCTTCTTGGAAATGCTACAGTATTAAAAGAAAAAGCAAACTGGACTTCTATAGAAAGAACAACTAGATGCTGCCTATAATCTTTTATTTGCCTTGTGGAATAAAATTTCCATTGTCCTGTTCAAAGTACTGTTTATTTCAAAGTTAACTGACTTAAGACTTGGAAAGGAAGAATATCAATCCTTTATAAATATAACTCTGCTATAAACTCTCCAAGTGTCTTGACCGAGTAGACAGTATAAAAATACCTGATAAGGTGAATTTCTTAAATGCTGGAGATACTCCAAAGTGCTTCATCAACTTAAAATTTGAAAGTAAGACTCTTCCCCTGCCCCTGGCAAATATTCTTCATTGGCATGCTGAGCAAGTAGGTATATGAACATGAATTTGGTAATTTTTGATGTACTGAAACTGAAGCAGATCAAAAGCTTGAAGGGAAATGATGTACAGTTGGATCTATGAACCATTATTTGTTGCTGTTGAACCCTTTGATCAAAGTGGTATTCCTGGAGATAGCATAACTGCTTGTAGTTTCTATGCTAGAAGAGGGATTCTGGATGGGTGTGAACTTTGTTTCATACCACTTTTTTCAAAAAAAAAGAGTATTCTTTCCATGAAAAGAATATTCTAATACAAACATGAATGTTGAAATACCCATTCTTCTCGAGGCTGTATGAGAAAACATTGCAAAATTTATGGTGGCTATTGTGATACAGCTTCTATGACTAAAACTTTAAAAGATGTGAACTTCGGGAACTTGTGACTTGCTGCAACCCAAACAGACCTTTGGTATGTTAAGAGAAGTGTTTTCTATGTAGGGCTGGAACTGTGGACATAATCTGTAACTTTTTGTGCTCAAGCTTATTTGCTGTTTTCTTTCTCCTTTATTCTCTTAGCCTGCTTCTGAAATCTTATAAAGCTTCTAATACTTTATCCTTCCCTTTCCTATAAAATTGTTGATGACATGAAATTAGGCTTATGCTGCATATTCAAGCTAGCTAATTTACCGCACATACCTGAGCGGGCAAGTATTGCATTGCCACCAATTTGGAAATGAACTTAACTTCAGTTGTGGTTTGATTCTGTCAGCCCCCTAACCTGCTAATATGCAAGTAAAGAGATCCTTTGTTAACTACTGCTTTTTGTCCTGTGGTGTTACAACTGACTAGTTCTTTAGTGTGTCTCAGGCTTTGGGTTTTTTGTGTACTAAGAGAAGGCCTGAGGCTTATTGTCAGTGAGTTGTTGTAAAGCCTGATGGACCTTACATACTTTATGGCAAACAGCTAGTAGAAAACTACAAAGGGAAAACTGTTTTGTTTAATCATATTATACTCTGATCAGGAGTCTAGCATGTTTTTATTATGTAGCATATTTTACATAGCCTGTTTTTGAAAGCAGTAAGTTAACTTTATCAGAAAATACAGTAAATCTCTTTGCAAGATTATGGGACTTCTGGTTACAGTAACTCAAGCATCAGCTGCCTTTGCTTTGTGGAGGATGCAGGGACCTTCATTGTCTTTTTCAGACCTCCCAACTGGCATCATCATCTGTCAGCTCTGAATAAACTGCTCTATATGGAACTAAAGTTTGATTTAGTAAGTGAATTCTAAAGTCTTTTAGAAACTGACTTGTGGGAAAAAAAAAGAAAAAGGTGAACTGTTTTAGATTAATTACAACACATTGTTGGACAGAAGTTGGTTTTAAATTTAAGTGCATATTGCACTGTTGGATCATGTAAAAATGTAAATGCTTAAATCTATATTTTGGAGTATATTGTCAAATAGTCTTTGTATAACTGTTTTATAAAGATTCAAAATGTAACTTTGTAGAGTAATCCTGAATGGGGATGCAAGTCTTATTTAAAATACTTCTGCTCCTCTGCTTTTAGAAGAACATAATATACATAAAATAAAATCTTTATTTTAGACTGCGGTGAATGTGGTACATATAATGTATTCTTAGCTTCTATAGATATTGTATTGTAGGATAGGAGGTCACATGCTTGTTTGTGTTGGCTAGTCTTTACGTATGTTATAAACAAACTTCTTGGCCAATGCTTCCTGCCAACAAGCATTTTGTTGGCAGAAGATGCGTATAGCATTCACAGCTGGTATACTGTAACTGCAGGCTTAACAGTTTATCCTTTGCATTCTTTACATAATGTGGAACTCGTAGAAAATTCTGAGAACTTGTTAGTTCTGTGAAATGAATATTAAGAAATAGGCAGGAAAAGGGAGTTACTAGTGAAGTTCTTAGATGGTGATCTCCCTACACACTGGAAGCAGTTGCCTTTTCCTCTCAATACTAGGCAGTTTTTCTCTTCTCTGCTATTAAGATAGGATTTGAGTTTGCTGAGACCCTTTGGACAACTTAGTTTTATCAGCATTATTGTCTTAAACTAAGCAACTAGAAATGTCAGCTTATAGAAACTGCTATAAGTGTTGTGTTCTGAACACCAGTCTGATTTTTCCAGAAATGAATTGGCACAAATAGAGCTGTTTCATTGTAGAATTGGACTTGTTCTTAGTCTTTGGCATTATTTGCCATTGTTAAACTAGTCTTAAAAGGCTTGTACTGAGATTTTTGTGGTTTCCTCTGGAGGATAAGAGTGACCGTAGCTCACTTTCTAAAGGACTCAAAAACATGGTATTTGCCAGAGTAATATTTCTCAATGAGGCAAGGAGGAAATTAACTGTAGGAGGGAATTAATTCTTTGCTATTAGCTGTATGATGACTGAAGAAAGTTGTCCTACAGAATTAGCGTCAGCTACAAAATATAGTATGGCTTGCCATAGCTTGTCACCAAATTGTAACTGGCACAGTATCACCTTTTTGCTGTTATTCTATAGTTATGTCTTCAGCAAAAGAATGCCCTCTATTTGCATTCCTTGTGTGAGAGGTAGGGATTTTTTCAGTGTTTCCCTTGTTACAGTAGTGAACAGCTAGAGGCTTCTGCTAACTCTACTTAAAGGCAAACAAAATAAGCTTTCAATTTGCTGACATCTGTTTCTTCTGTGTATTCCCTACAAAAAGTAGGCACATAACTTGAACTGCTGGCACATATGGTAAAAGAACAGGAACAGAATACATGTCATGCAATACAGCAGGATGTTTAATAAACATTTGTATAGCCAATGAACACTTAAAATCATATACATGTGAGGTGACCTGCATTGCATTTTAGTTTTATTTCATTAAGACGGAGATGTATTCTATCAGTTTGAACACTTGAAAGCTATACCTTAAAGGACTAACAAATGCTTATTGCAGATAGACGTCGATAGAATAATGCAGTACTAACTATTGACTGTTGGCACTGAGGTAAAATATTGTTTGACAGAACAGCAAATTTCAAGCTAAAACTTCTGCATTTCCCTTTGGGGATTAAATAATTGGTTTTGTTTTAAAACTCTTCTCTCAGAGAACATTCTGTTCCTAGTAACTAGCAGTTACCAGTATTTTAAAAAAAGACAACAAAACTGATCAATAATAAAGCAATTTGTCCCACTGAGGGTAAATGGGATATAGAGAATGCTGTCATTGTCACTCAAGTCTCTACTCTCAGGAAGAAACTTTCTGTATTTCTTGCTGCTGAAATAAAATTTCCATAATTCTAGTTTTGCTATTCACAGCACTCTTGCCTTGTTTTCCTAATTAAGACTTCATGCATCAAAATACTTAACCACATTCTTTTCCTACACTTTTGTCCTTTGCTTACTGATTTGCCTGTCTTCCCTATTGTTTTATAGGGAAGAATAAATGCATTGACACTCAGATAGCTAGCATCTACCATTTCACTTAACAGCTCTATGAGGTAGGAATTGAATATTCTCCTTAACAGGTGGAGAAATTGAGGTGAAGGACTACAGTTCTTGTCACTTTAATCTATAAACCACTAGTCAAAACTAGGATTCTTTTACTCTTCTATTCAGCCATGTATTCTTAATGAATACCCTTAATTATTACTTATAGAATGCATTCATGCAGCTTACACTACTCTTAAACAATTATTCTTCCCTTTTGACCAAAAAGCTAAAAATAACAGTTCTGTTGACTAAAATAATAGCTCTTAAATACTCTCATTTCCTTGTTAGTCCATATTATTAAGGTACTTTTTCAAGTCAGTTTATTAAAGTGCTTAGTGGTTAGCTATTTTCAGTGACCTGAATTCAGAAGTTATATAAGTTACTTCAGAGAAGTCAGCTCCTAAATATGAGCAGTTTATGTCCACAAAGGCCATATCTTTTTGTTCCAGTCATCAAGAATTTCACTATTCTTCTCAAGATTTGACTGCTGAAGCATAGAACTGACTAGTGCAAATGCTTAGGCACAATTCAATTAAAATGCATACATTCTTTTCCTGTGCAGAGGCAATAAAATGGCATATAGCTTATTCCATTGTTAAGACATTCCAGAGAACCTTAAAATGGCTCATGTCTGAAATATTTGGCAAAACAACAAAATATGGAATCTATTGTCCTATTTTACAGCAACAGTAAAATTAAAGTTCCAATACACTGTTTAAAAGTATAATTAAAGCCTATGGAGCTAAAGCATTAGCTCCATCAGTGACACTCAGCTTACCTCCAGACTTTTATTTAAAGTAGCATAAGGCTTGGATAGTATACCATCTAGCAACAATAGCTAATATGTTGCTTCATCCATATTGTCATCACTGCCAGCACCAAAATCATCTCCATCCTCAAAGTATGAAGAAATGTAGTCATTTTCCTAAATGAAAGTATATTGCAGATCAACGTACTATCATTATGCATGTGGAAGAGAACTTACAAAGAAAACATTCTTTACACTGCAGTTAAGTAAAATTTTTAAACGTTCATGTGAGCTTTTCTTTCTTTATTTCTCAGGAAAGAAAAAGGGGGGAAAAAAGTTCTGGGATGCATGAAAGGGGAAGCATCAGTTTTTGATGCAAGGTTATTGCCCTGTTTTAGGGATGAAAATTAAGGACCGCATCTACTGAATGTGGCAAGAAACATTCCTTTTAGCAAGATCTTATTGCCAAGCTCTTTGCAAATAACAGATCTAAAACAAATCTTTAACTACAGCACAAGATAGCATAACAAAGAAAATCAACGTAATGCTACCTCTCCCTATAATTCCTCTGCACTTTAAGAGAAGCTAGAGGTACTTCCTTTGCTGTCTGCCAACAGACTAAACAATTGCTGGGATCTAACCTGGTATATATAGAAAGACTAATGCCTACCTCTTCATGCTCCTCTTCATCATATTCTTCTGGTTCTTCTGCTTCTTCATCATCTTCACCTTCTTTATCTTTTGTTTTGTCTTTCTCATCTTCAGATTTTTCTTCTTCCTCATCCTTCTTTTCCAACTCCTGTCACAAGGCAATCTCATTTGCAAGGTAATCCCATGTTATATCAGCAACATATCCCTCCACGCTACCAAAAATGTTATACTGAGTTAACAAGATGACTACAGAACGATGTGTGGATATTTGTCAGTATTTAAAGACAACATGATTTGAAATGCCAGAACATCATAAAGACATATTTGATCAAGTATTAGCCATCAAACTTTGTCTAAGAAGTATGTCTTGTGCAATAAATTGAGAGGTTGATTTCCTTTTACCATCCACTATTGGATAAAAAAGAATTGTAACTCACAGTAGAAGGTCATGTCATACTTGATAAAACCATACCTCATAGCATAATTATCCACATGAAAGAACTGATATATCACAAAGATAAAAATAAAAAGCTGTTTCACCTTTCAGCTTTCCATTCCCACACAGTGGATACTCACCTCCAAAGTCACTTTCCCCTCAAATGTCTCCTTCTGTATTTTTCTCCCTCTCAACTTGTTACCTGGGTTGGTTTCCAACATCAGTATATTGGAAAGGAAGCAATAGATTTAAAAGCTTTGGCATCAATTTCTCCTTCAGTAAGCTCTAATGCTAATTCCACTGTTCACAAATAAGCTGCATTGCTACCCAGTGAAGAACAACTGGACATCGTGTTCAAGGGGTCAAACAGAATTAAAGAAAACAGTTTCTCCCCAGCCAAGCTCCTTCCTCATTCTCTCCCTTGTGCTACCACGTTGTAGAACAGGTCTCCGTCAGTGTAGCAGGATGAGGCCAGAGAAAGCGTGGCAGGGGTTATTCCATTTGGTACTGAAGATCGCAACATAGCAAATGTTTCCTTTTCCTTCAGCAATTTCTATTGTACAAATTAGTAGAATATACACGTCTTACCTCAATTTTTTTCAACACATCCAGATTACTTTTAGGCTCAGAGCTTTTTGCTTTTTTTGGTTTTGCACCTGCTGAAATAAAACACATCACTATTATTTTTTGAATATGAAAAGAACACTTAACACTTTTCTTTTACTTGTTCTTAAGACCTTACATTTTGAGAAGAGTAACTGCAACGGTAATCCAGGAGAGTCTGTATTATAATTACATTAGACTTTGAGCTACATCATTCACAGAGCTATGATAGTCTGAATTATGCAAGTGATGCCTACAGGGCCAGTCTCAAACTCACTTTGAACAGATACTTGATCAAAGGTTTGTCCAAACAACTATGGCATTCAGCTTCACAAAATAGTTCTTACCTACAGATTCAAAACATATTAATAGAAAAAAAAAATCTAAATTTTTATTTTTCATCATCTTCAAAAAACAAAAATGCATTACTGTTTGAACTTCTCCTAAATCTATGCAACACATTCATGACCGCTGGGCGCTTCAGATTGACAGCTAAGAACAGGCGGACAGCAGAGATTACTAGCTCCAGCACAGTTGCAGGGTTATTGCAACAACATGGCATTTGGACCAAAGCTGGCTCTTATCTAGGGGAGTGTGGAGTGCATATTTTACCTAGTCACTTGATTCATGAATATAACCTTCTATCTAGTTCGTGTGTCCCCTCCCTACAATTCAACCTCATTATCTTACTTAGCTATATAGTGGGGTGAAGGTCAAAAGCAGGATTTCATATACCCAGGTAAAAGCTACCTGGAGTGCAGCACTATAAACTAAAGGGAATACCTGCCCTAATTCCAGGAAGTGCAATTTGACCAGTAGATTAGGAGAAAAAGAAAGAGCACACAGAGAGCTCTGTCAGATAGACTGATTCCAGGGTGTAACTGCCTTTTGGTTCTCCTGCTAAATTCAGCACGGCTGCACAAAACATACAATGTGGGGGTCATACCTACCACAGATTAGCTCTTCTCAGTATGGTAAAACAACCTATGTAAAGCTCCACGCTGGTGTGGCTAGATGACTTCTGATAGACAAGTTAGCTTCAGACAAATCAGTTTGTGTAGCTTGTGACTTTTTTTTATACTAGGCAACACTAAGTGATACCAAAAAGGAAATGACTATGCACTGAGAACATCATTTCCAGAGTAGACAGTAACCCAGTGCAGTATGGATTTCATCTGGCTTAGCACTTAAGGGAAAACACTAGAACTGCTAAGAGGATTACTATATTTTGTCAAAAGCATTCGTTATAAGTAATACTGAGTTTGTTTCAATGCTTTGTCTAGGAAGGGGCTCTGTGACAAAAGCACTGTATGCAGCTGAGGGAAGTCATCATGAACACTGTCAAAGCAAACATGTCTAAAATGAAATGATTAGTATATTGCTCAAGTAGGCAAAGTAAGAAAAACAAGTGCAAAATGTGATTCAAAATGATCATTTCTGCACAAACACCTGCAGGCTTTTAGAGATAATGCCATTAGAAGAAACAGTCTGAAAATCACAGCAGACATCAAAATCATTCTTTCAACGGTGGGCATTTGTGGGGCTTGTTTATGCTGAGAAATGGAGAGAAAGACCCATCATTAGACAACAGAGCTTTAAGCAAAATAGCCATTTACAGCCATTTTGTTTTTATGTACAATGGAATACAACCTACTCTTTCCGAACACCTGTTCCTACATTACTTTGGCTTAAATACACATATACATATAGCTGGCCTGCAAGAACTGAACCCTGTCAACATTTTTGGTGGGCATAGCTGATATCTTGTATGCTGTGTTCCATGACTCAGGCTAAGTGTGGGAGAGATGTTGAATTCCACCCAAAATTATGTCAGTAAAAGGTATGCGGTTAAGTGTTAGGTTAATGCACTCAGGGAAATCAGAAATGGGGCAAAAGATGAAGCCAGCCCTGTAAATTTAACTTCATAGGTATCCAGAAATCACTCCTCCAATCTATGAAGCTAAAATGGAAAACTGTTCTGACTGCAGTACAGATAAAAATCACTTCACTCCCACACCTTTGTTCCACTTATAATGAAGTGTAACCTAAGATGGCTGTTCTCAAAATATACCACTGATACATAACAGAGGGTTTAACATGTCACTGATCAACTATTTACAAATCTCCTGAATAACATGACTTTTGAACAGCCTCCATATCACCAGGATTCCCAAAAAACCAAAACCACATTATTTTTGCTTTCAGAGGAACATATCATTTTATCCAATCAAATCTGGATGGCTAGCTGATCTTTGCCGTTATAATTAAGTAAGGACATGTACTTTTAAAAGCAAACAGAGAAACTGGCACAAAAGAAAGTGAATAAAATGCAGTGAACAGTGACTTTCTAATCCTTTGTTTATGATAATCACAACATTACTGTAACAAAGGAATAATAAATCAGCATTTATGTTTGCATAGGATCATGGGGGGCCAATTATTGCCTCCAGGTTTATAAAAGTCAGTGCTATTTCTTCTTTTAAAAAAATACGTATGTACTGATTTCTTCTTTAAGGGTTTTTCAAATAAGTATTTAATTTTCAGTTGAATCTTACAGTCTACCTTTAGTACCATGCTTCTCAATGAGGCTCTTAAAAGGAACAAAGCTTCCAGCTGAGCCAGTCTCCATGACTACTGCACATTCACTTTTCTTTTTCTATTTTATCCTTGAACTGAAAAATGACACACGAAAGACTTGGACAAAAAGAACAAGAATGTAAACAATTATATATAACAGACAGCTAAGTAGAGGGGTCCAAGTTGTTGTTTCACATCAACCGAGCAACAGACTTCTACAGAAAAATTAAAATAACAGTCATGCATACTAGAATACACTTTGAAAAATAAATACACTTATGACGTTGCATAATAAAAAAATCAAGTCTTTTTTCCTTTAAGAACAACCAATACCAGCTCCAACTGCTGTTGAAGGATCTGGTTCACAATTCTGCAGAAGAAAGCTGAAAATAAACAAAAAAAGTAAAACCAGGGAAAATAGAAAATAACCTACATTAAATCACATATAAAAGGCTTAAAAAATGCAAAAGTCAACCAAATCATAAACAAGATAACTGATAAACCCAAAATATAAAGGAAATCTGAACAGCTAGCTATTCATTAAACAGAAGGGGGAGTGCTGACTAAAGATACACTTCCAAAAACAAGTTTAGTGCTTTTAAAATCTTTTACTGTTACATATTGGCACCTACTGTTAATATAATATGTCAATATGAAAGACAGCAAAAGAAAGATAGGTCTGTTCCAGTAAGTTAAAACATCCTACGGAAACAAAACAAAAACCACAAAAGCGAAGCAGACTAGTAAGATATTTAGAAAACATCTGCCAAATTCCCTGATTATTAGGCCTAGTAACATTTGTACCAATTTTTTCTCCTAACCAGCTCCAGCATTTCTGCTCACACTCAACCAGTGTGAGCCAAGCACTCTTTAAAAATACTTAATTACCTTTCTTGGTCTTTTTGCTTGGCTTCATTTCTCTTGGGAGTCTCCGCCAATCTGCATAAAAAATACCTTTAGTATATACGAATGATGATTTACAGCACAGCTATGATTCTCCCCACTTCTTGGAAAGGCTGGGGCTCCTGTTGTGCTGTGATCTCATATACATGCATACCTAACTGTTTTATCATACAGCATTTCCATTGAATTCTAGTTGTACTTTAAATTAAGAAGATTAGAGTAAGGATCTACGTTTAGATCCAGTTAATGAAGACTAATATCTGCACCAAAGAGATAGTTAAAGCCCAGCTATACCAGTGGTCCACGTGCCATTTAACTTGCATATTACAATTAATTTGGCACTGGTGAACTGTAAAGGTACAGCTGTGGAAGTTCAATGTTATAAAACCCAGCTACCGGTCACTGAGAAAACAGTTTATTTTTTTAAGTAACATCCATGTTTGCTCCCAGTTGAAAACTGATATTTAGATGGGGAATGATGAAGAGGTAGAAAACAATTTGCATGTTTGCTGCAAGACAAGCTGTTAAGCTTCAACCTAGTAAAAAAAAAAAGAATAAAAATCAGATTTTGGGGGGAAAGGGACAAAATAATACTTTGCCTTGATTTGGAAAAATGACAAAGGCATAGCCCTTAATCATGACTCTACGGATTTACATGCATTTTTATTACTTTAAAAATAATGAATCCAACATTTAAGAAGAGCAGAAGACTGCACTGGCTAATACACAATTGACCTTTGATAATCTGAGATACTACCTGGAGTCCATGCTGCATGCTCCTTTTCAATCTCCAGGTACTTTTTACTGTATCTTTCAATTGCTACAGAGAAAGATAAAAGAGTTATTGAGTTCAGTTCCTTAAAAAGGCAATCCAGACACTGCATGCTATGTCTTCCTGCAACTAAACCTGCACTATTATCCTGTTACCCCTGTAAAGGGCACTTCCTTGTGCTGCTGCTGAACACTTAAAGCCAGTGTAATGCCACTACTTGAGCAGTTCTCATGAAAAACCCCAGGACTAATTATATGCTGAGTATTTGCAAGACCTGGATTTTATATCCCCCTTCCCAAAAACAGGAAAAAAAAACAAGAAAAAAGTATTACTTTTCTTTTTTTAGTATCTCCTTTCAATCAAAAAAGCAAAACAAATTGTAATATTTTATACTGGTATCCCTGAAAAGTATGGGAGCATAAAATGCAGATATAGTAGGGAAACAAGATTGAGACATGATACATGCTAACACTTCTCTTCAACACGTTCACAATCAAACTTGTGCTACAAAGGCAGTAAGTGACCTTTATCACCACTGTCGCAGGCAAAAGAGGCATAAAGAGTATCCAGAATTCCCAGGTCTCAGAAGGCTACATCTCTGACTGACCATGACCAGCTCCCAAGATTTTAAGTACTACTGCAATAGCAAACCTTCGTACCATAACAAAGATGCGTTTCCCAAATGACAGTAACATATCTTAGTTTATTCAACCTCTTCCCAGGCACAAGAACTAAACTGAGAAACGCCTAGTAGTTACACCCTATCGTGTACAATCTTTAATGATAAAACCAATACTGAAACTTAAGCATTTTTGAATTAGTCATATTTTTTCTTACCAAATTATCATGCCCAACAGCAAAATCCACTTAATATAAAATTACTGATTATGATTGCAGTAATAGCTCATTGCCCCAAACAGGGATAATTTCTGTGAGTATTCTACAAATGAAAACAAAGACAGACAGTGACCTTTATGGATTAAGACTTCTTTCACATACACCAAAAAAAGGATGGGAAAAGAAAGACTTCAGGAAATTAAGCTCAATTTTAAACTTAGTTGTGACAAGGGCAAGCAAAAGACCTACTTAAAAATGTGCAACCAAAGGCTTGTGTTTAAAATGATGGTGTCTCAATGGGCATTTAATGTAGGTGGCCTTCATAAACGCTGAAGGAAACTGTCCGCAACAGAGGAGGAAAGAAACTAGTAGTTTTGATTTCAGCTTAAGGCCCTTAACTGAAGAATTAATTGCTGATGCCATCAGTTTAAACTATATCTATATCTATATATGTATATACACACATAAATCTCAGTGACTCTTGCCACTCACAGCTAATGAATTAATCCCAAACCATTGTCAAGGTGACAGGCACCAAAACATAGCAGATATAACTGCAGGGAAAATATGATTCATTCCTGTTTTATGAAGTGAAGAAAACTGAGAGCAAATTTACTACAGAATAAACCTACTACTCATTCAAAAGGGGTGTTCAGGTTAGTGATGAAAATCTGTTCTGAATGAAATACTAATATATCCAAATTTGCAGGTAGCGTTGGCCATGGCATTAATTTACTGCCTGAATAATGACAGAAAGAAAGGTAGCTCTGTCCTAATTAAAATATTTCCCTTCTCACACTTCAAAAGGACCATTTGGCTCACAGACATAGTGCTGAGAGTTTAAAACAATACATTTCCTCTTGTAGCAAAGCCAATTTAAGAAATTCCTGCCCACCGTCCTCTTCCCGCCTCTCTCTTATTCCTACCAGATATTTTGATGAAATACTAGGAAGGAAAGGGCTGTAAATGCAGGCAACTGAAATGATCAGTAAAAAATAAAATCAGTCTACCTTGAGGGAAGAAAGTGGCTTTCTCAAAGCTAGGCCACTTCTACTAGACAATGTAGGCCAGAGATAACTGCATACTGTGAGAAGAAAGCAAGCTGTTTAAGTTAGCATGAGTGCTGCAGACAACCACTGGTGTTAAGTATACCCCAGTATCTCAGATGAAGTATTTTTGTACAACTAAAGTTTTAGCGTAGAGAGTTATCTCACCTTACAAACTTACTCTTGGGAAGATGATGAGAATACTTGCAGTGTTATTTAAGTTTATCTAAAGTGGCTATCTTCCTGCTTTCCCTGCAATTGCCAGTTTTTGTAGAAAAACAATCTTCAAAGCTGGCAGTTCTGTTAACGAGCACACTCAGCCACACAGAGAGATCACTCCATCTCAGAAAGAGGGTTGCAGAAACAAAGAGGATTTTGAGGACAATAGTGAGAAGGATCATATGAGGCAAAGTTGGGAAAGAGATAATACGTTCTCATCAAGTGGCTGGTTCACTGCAAATAAACCTGACAGGCTTTCAGGCACAGCAGTCCTTTCTCGTTCCTCAAGCGGAAACGGCGAACTTCAAGCCTGAGAAAGATCAAGGGCACAGAAAACCTCTGGTGAGATGAGAGACTAAAGAGACTGAAATTTGTTTACTTAGAAGATAAAAGAGGAGATGTCGTTATAGAGTAATTTTGAATTCTTCTACAATCATAAAGGGATCTAAAAACAAAGATTAGATTTTCTGTTTTGACTTGTCTCATAACCAAGGGTTCACCTGGCTTCTTCCAAGTTCAGCA